CCACTTTTGATAGATGGCATCCACCTATATTCTGGCCATTAATGATTATGCTATTGCTATATGCTATATGATTTGTAGATTGACTATGCTATTTCCTTCCTTTGATCTTTTTTTTATTAAGGAAAATGTTTTTGTTTGAAATCTCTCTCTCAGCTTGGAGGTCACATCCCTGAGTGCTTTTAAACATCAATCGTACTTTTCCGTTCAGTCCTTGGTATCTGTTCACCTTCACATATTCTTTTTTTATGTGTTGTGTGTTGCCACATGCACATCCAGCAGTCTTTTTTTACTTGTTCACCACTTTGTTGTCTGACTGTTTGGCCAGTCTGGAGCTGTAACTCTCATAGGATATTAGCCCTGACATTCTAAACTACCATTTGTGGCATATTTCATTTGGACATAGGCAGAGCCCGACCATAAATGGTGCAGATCTTCTGTTGCTGTATTGATGTGAGGAGTAGAACTCAGTGCTGTGTTAGTCCTTCCTTTTTCTTCCACCGGTAGAACTTTGGATGACATCATCAACCATTATTTACCAAGAGTTCATCAATTGAGATATGGCATGTGTAATATAATGCAAAACAAAGAAGAAAAGTCAACTTAGAATAAGTAATAGAAAGTACACAAGTTTGTGTTGCATTTCCAGGCCTTTTTCCAGGTCTGCATATTAATTTCTGAAAAATGACTCTGTTAAGGAAACAAATCTTTTGTGTAATTTTATAGCACAATCTATTTTAATATAGTTTTGTCCACTTTGTAATTCTGTTTCAGCTATATTGGTAATGTAATCAATGTAATAATCTTAAAATCCCTTACATGGTATTTCCATTGCTTCATTCTGTGGAAGCAATTCCATTTTGTACTTCTATCATAAACTGTACTTTTATTGATTTGTTTTTCTTTGATGCATTTTGATTTGAACATCAATGATGTTTGCCATCGGAAGCATACAGTATATTTTTTATATATGTGAGTGTGGAGTGTGTGTGCTGTAGTTAAAAGTTTTATGTACATCATTGTTGTTTTCCAAGTACAATTTCAGTAAGGTTTGTGGTTAAAAAGCATTATGATACCCTGACATGACATACCTGAAATGTCAATAGATAACATAATATTAAGGGAGAGATTTATTGTTTATAATACAATAATAGATAACATTAGACTTGTGCACAGAGAGAAAATTCAGCTTGGCCAAACCATTTTTCACACAAATTGAAACATTTCTAGGATGGACAATTCTTTGACCATATGTTGGTTCTGCTCCTCTGTACCAAAAAACTGATTCGGGAACCAAATCTGATGAATCAAATGGATAAAAAAATTGTCCAATCAGTGTACTGATTTAAATATATAACATATATAATAACTACTATGCATTTTGCAGTGCATTGCTATGCACATTTTCCCACACGTGGTTCATAGATCAAGTAAGAAAAAGTAACCAATAAAGGGAAGAAAAGGAGTAGTAAAAAATCTATATTTATATTTCTATATATTATACATATATTAAATATATAATATGTAAATATGTCAATATAGTTTGTTTTTCACTCATTTTTTTTCCCCTTTATGATCAGTTCTCACTCGATCTTCAAATAAAATTAACTTTTAGTGACTGTCCCCATTAGTATCTGTTTTTGGCACCTTAGAATTCAGTCACAAATTATAATGGAAATGCTTAGCCATTGTACATTTTGTTTGGTTTGTAATTCTCTTATATTTTGGCTCATACTTCTTACTTCTGGAATTCAAATGATTACTCAATCAGCCAAAATAGAGCCAAATTACTGTTCGTAACTAAACAAATCTCCAAGTCTACTAATAAAGCCATTGTAACAATATATATATATATATATATATATAAAAAAGAAAAAACCTTGCACTCCTACTGAGATAGAGAGAATGAACTGTATACATGAAAATTTTACTATGCAGATCCTGGAGCTACACATAGAGTTAAAGACAGCCACATTAATAGTTCCAGACTAGGGGACCCAGCGACACGCGCTCTGGTAATCCAGAATATGTAGCTTGCCTGTTAAGAAGCCCTGGTTATATGTTAATGAGCAGTGCGGACTCAAGTTTCGAATGCTGGCATCCTGGTTGTCCAGGTAACACAATATGGCGTCCTGAGAGTCCCACTGTCCTGTTTGTCCAGGTAATATAAAAGGGCAACCAAAGTTATCTGGTTTGGGATATAGAGAGACGATTGCGATAGTGGTCTCCTACTCCTTAGACATGTGCTCTCAGAATGAGCGATCACCAGCTTTCTATTCACCCAAGTTATGCGCTCATCTTCTTTCCTTCCAGCACTCACGAGAACACTGGGGGAATATAGCAAACTCGACCACAACACCATACACCAACTCCAAATTTGCCATGACTTTGACTGGAGGGATGATCATATAACATGTTTGGGTATAAAATTGACAAAAAATCTGGATGATATGGTCAAAACAAACTACATTAAAGTAGCTTCTGAAATCCGACCCAATATGGATAAATGGAAAGACAAACTTCTATTCTCGTTGGGCCGTATAACGGCCTTCAAAATGATGCTACTCCCCAAACTGCAGTTCATGTTCAGTTCCCTGCCTGTGGACGTCCCAAAGTCCTACTTTACCCAATTACAAAGACATATTGATAGGTTACTCACTGGCCGAAGTATAGCTTGCATCCTAAAATCCACTGCCACTAGGAAGTTGGGGGACGGGGGAGTGGGGAGACCAGACATACACACCTACTATTTAGCCACACTCCTCAATCATGCCATAAGTGCACAAAACTCCACGTCCAGACATCAGTGGGTGGAGATTGAGTCCCATTGGTCTTTGGCTGAGGGGCTCCAGTATCTAATGTGGATACCCAGTGTCTTGCATTCAAAGATGTGCAACACACTACCCATTACGTTTACGATGCTAAAGGCATGGGATGACCACAAAGCCAAGTTTTCCTCTTGGAACCCAGTCTTATTAGCCACACTACTCCAATGCATTAAATACTTTGTCCCTACATTTGACAGTGGAGGCTGGGAGACAGGGGACTACGGTTTCTATACCAAAGATAAGGCAACTCACAACCAGTTCATAACCCAGGGACAGCCCAAGATTGTCCCTGTGTGCACATCCCCATAAAGGTTGATGCATAGATACCAGACATAGTAGGTAGGGGATCTGGTAATACACCATAAAATAGGTTTACACTTTACATTTTGTACCACGTAGACATCTGCAGCGGCAGGACGCATATCGCGGAGATTGAGCAGATTATGCCAAAATGAACAACCTGTACATGCATGTTGAGCATCTGCCTTACCCATATGTTTATGTTTTGTCTATATTTAAGCATATAATTCAATGTTTACTTTATTCTGTTATGTATCTGACTCACTGGAATAAAGAAATAAAGAAATACAAATAAATAAACAATTAAACTTAATGTTTCATATGGCAAGTGTTAAAAAAAATATTGTGATAAGGGTAAAGAGTTCTTCAGATGTTTATGATGGGAACTTTCATGATGTAGAATTGTATTCTGATCTGTGGGTTTTGTGTATAACCTATATTCCAGTTTCTGATTAATCACCATCAAGTTCGATGTCAAGGAACTGTATAGATTTCTCATCAATTTGTGAGGTCACCCTAACTGGAGCAGGAAGTTTGTTGATATGATCAACCAATGCCAGAGCCTTATCTTTAGTACCCTTCCATAAGACTAAAATGTCATTGATAAATCTGTAGTATTTGACATTTTGATCCTTATATCGTGACAAAATATATTGTTGTTCAAAATCATACATGAAGGTATTTGCATACATGGGGGCCATCGTCGCCCCCATGGAGGTACCGGAGATTTGGAGAAATCAATTTGTCTCAAAACGAAAATAATTGTTTTGCAAGGCCAAAGACAGTAGCTCCATCACAAACTCAATTGGGGGGCCTTGATATTGTGTTGTATTGATGAGTAATTTCCTCATGGCATAGATTGCCTTCTTCATGTGGTATTATTGTGTAAAGGCTATTTACATCCATAGTTATCAGGAATCCATTGAATTCTTTCAGTTCATCCAAGTCTTTCAATAAGCTACTAGTGTTCTTTACAAAGGTGGAGATAGCTGCCACTGTTTTTTTAAACAAGTAATCTAGGTATTTGGCTATTGGCTCCAAGATACCATCAATTGTGGACACAATAGGTCTTCCTGGGGGATCTGTAAGATTCTTTTGGATCTTGGGGAGTGTGTACAAAATTGGTGTACATGGATGTTTTTTCTAAAGGAATTGTAATAAAGTGAGGTCAATGTATCCTGCTTTAAGCCCTAAGAGCAATGTATCCTCAATCTTTTGCGCAATCTTAATAGTGGGATCTTTTTCAAGGCGTTGATATGTCTTTTGAGCTTAAAGTTGTCGGGGGATTTCATGGGAGTAATCAGTGTAGTTCAAGACTACTATGCCCCCACCTTTGTCTGCGGGGCGTACCACTATTGCATGATCAGTAGACAAGCTTCACGAACAAGTGCACGTTGTTCTTTAAAAAAATTAGAAAACTTAGGTACTACTATTAGGTAGTACTATTAAGACACTCACCTATTTATCCCCTTAGATATTCACCTTACAGATATTGCACTTTAACTATTTTTCTAATATTTAGGACAACCTAAATGGCACTTTAAAATTAAACTAATATGCACTTTACAAGGTAATACACTTTACATGAAACCGATATATAGTATTGAATCGATTAATCACATATGCGCTTTAGCTATGTTTAGATTCACTTTAGACCTTTATACACTTGTGCCTAATCATTAAATTCATGAAGCACCAATATAAAAAAAGCAATAGTCAATTACCCTAAAATTTTTAAAGATATTGGTGGGCACCAAAACCCTATTCGGGATGAGTAAATTGAGTATTTGAGAAAGGGAAAGACACTGACACCAAGAACTTGTAAATAATCAATACAAACTTTATTGATTGATTGACTTAATCAATAAGTAATAACAGCTTAAGGAAACAGCTTAATATTAAGCTTAAAGAAACAGCTTAAGTATACATCACCATAAGAGAAGCTTGCTGCACTCGACTGAGAGAACTTCTGGCAGTCAGGTTTGAAGAGGACCCTCTCTTACTGGGAATCAGCAGAACCAGCAATACGCGTCCGTATTACAGGTGGGTAGTACTCCAATGAGTGCCAAGTTTTCTAGTCTTTTATAACAAACTTAATAATCAATGGGATGAGTAGTCTGTCCTTTTCCACCAAATCTTCTTAACAGTGCAGCCCAGCAAAGACCTTGCAAAAGCGTTGGATGGGACCTGCAGCTGCCCAGGCTGTCCAGCCCCACCAACAATGCCATGCCAGATCTGTGCGGTAAATTATCTCTTATCTAAAAGCTAGCTACGTTCTCATAATATTCTCATGAAGCTATGCATGAGTCATTCTGGTGCTGTGTTTTGTGGTTATTAACATTTTCGATACTGTGTACCGGCGCCATCTTAACTATCTATAATAGTTTAATATGCTCAATAGTGATCAATCAATCATTCTTAATAAATATGGAATATTATTATCACAACACTTTATATGATATAGTGTAGTAACTTTAAAATCATGTTAGCACTTATACACTTTAGTTAAATCTAAATGCGCTTTATACCATTATACACTTTATATGAGATTCCAAATTAGATCTTGAGTATATCACTATATATGCACTTTAGTTACAATATGCACTTTTTCTCTATCTCTTGCACTTTTTAACTCTGCTATTTAACCTATCATTACCCAATAAGGACAATATGATAAGGCTGTTTTTGCTATATTCTGCTATAACAAATATGTCTCTTTTTGTATTAGGTGATCATATGGGACATTTCAACTCTGTTCTTTTTATTTCTATTAACTTGAAGGGACTTTGAAATGAATATGTGATACACATTGTATTTACACAATATTTTGTCTACGTGCAATTCCCTTCCCTAATCGATGCGTTCTGGTAGCCATGGGAACGTACCTAAACCCACGTCAAGAGGTGGGCGGACCAACCTCAGTTGAGAGGAGGTATTCTCCCAACGGCAACAGTACACGGATAAATAGCCGCAATGCATCGGTGGTTTCCATGGTAGTGTGAAGAAGCCGGTACCTGGGGATTGGTCCTTGCTAATACCTCTGATGTGGGGGTAATCCTCAGAATAGCGCACATGCACAGTGGCTTCGAAATCACACCGGTTATCAAATGGAATGGAGAACAGCTGATTTGGTGAGTGTGTAGAGGATATTAGTCCTATATAAAGCTTTTTACTGTGTAGTATGTTTTTTGTGTGTTCTGATGAAAGCTCCTATTAAGAGCTGAAACGTTTACCTGGATTAATTTTGAATAAAGAAGAAATCCTTGGAAATCCCAGAGTGCCGGTAATTGTTTAATATATATTATTTATGTGACTTGGCACCGGGTAATAACTTCTAAGTTGGAGTGCAAGTGTTTTAAATTTGGCTATATATATATATATATATATATATATATATATATATACAAAATACACAATACAGTGCACTCGTTCATTAGTGAGTGTGCTCGTTTGTGTATTTTGTATATTGTATAAATTGGCCCCAGCAGCATCCTATAATATATGCATGTTCAGGTGAGTACAGCCCTAGCCATACTTGGTTTCATTTATTTCTACATTTGGGAATCCAGGCCAACTCCTTGGTTTTGCACCCCTCCCTGTCTCAGGTGTTTTATTCAAGAGCCTTATTTAGCCTTGACCTGCAGAGAGTCCCAGGACGAAGAATTTCCCAAGTAAGTTCAGGCATTAGGCTGCTAGAGAAGGACTGGCCAAGAATGGGATACATTGATGTTGTGGCAGGCTTATGCAATGTATGATCATATGTTGTAACCAAACTCCCATTATTTCTTGCCTAGGAGAGGTGTTTTTAAATAAAACTAATACATTCCGGGAGACTTGAAATTGCTGTTTCGTGTCTGAGCGAGTGCACTTGATTGTGTATTTTGTATGTTGTATATATTGGCCCAAGCAGCACCCTATAAGATATGCATGTTCAAGGGGGCAGAGCCTGACCTTCAAGCTGTCTGGACGTGTGGTACCTGAGCTCCTGGATATCGGGCTAAATCTTTGGTTAATTTAACCATTCTTGCACTACCACGCACCATCCTGTGTCCATCTTAGGTCAGGGACTCCCGGGCAAGCTATATGACATACTCCCCGAGCTTTTACGCCACTGGGAGTCAAAGAAAATTTACTGTGGCCTGCTGGGAACAGAGACGGGGAGAGACGGCCAACCTCCTTGCTCTCGAGTTCGTGGCATAGACCTGCTGCACTTCAAACTCCCCCCCTGCCGGTCAGGATATCCGGTCCAAATAAGCGTGATTAAAGCGGTTAGAGCAGTGGAGAACTTTCCTGTCAATACTTACCCGGAAGGTATCCAAGATGGCAGACACAGAGGCACCAGCGACAAGAGGACTGGCACTGTGCTGTGCAGACTCGACTGCCGCATCCTCCTTAATCTGGAGGCAATCTTTGCCCACTTCTGGATTACACTTGAGGAGAGCATGAGGCTGGCACAACCTGCTGTGACCCAGCACCGAGTTGGGCGGCCTGGGGGACTCCTTGCACACTGCACTACCAGACTCCCATTCTAAGAGCTCCCATAGTGTTATCGTCGCAGAGACCAACCAAACCACTAAAAGCTGCGCAACAGGCAGACAGCACGCTTCCACAGACGTCGATCTCCCCAGATTTCCCGATCTCCAGGCTTTTGCCCTGATGGGAAGACCACAACCTCAGGAGCTCCCCGAGCAGGGGCCAAAGCAAGGATTGCTGACCCACCGGTCTGGAGCTGAGAGGAAGCTCAGCCAAGACACAGTACTAGTTCTCATTTCAATGAACCGCACAAATGCATGACATGCCTACCCAGCTTGGGCATCGGATGAATACCTTGTATCCCTCCTCGTTCTATGCCCAAATAGATGGACATTGTGCCCTTCCTAACTATGACCAAGCAAACCCCATCTGTCAGCTATGGTATTAGTAACATAACTCAAGCTGTATCTTATTGTCTTCTCCCCCATGCCCCAAACCCTTGCATACTCCAGTTCTCGACACTCTAACACAGTAACACACCTAATCTTCTACTAACATTGTTATCTCTAGCTCAATTGTCTCATATGTCATGGCATTGTATGCCAATGTTTGAGCACATTAAGCTTGTTAATGCTGTCATGGCACCGGCCTGTATGTTATTATTTTGTTGCACACCAAAATAAAGAATTTTTATTTTTTTTTACACACATATATATATATATATATATATATATATATACACATGTTCAGGTGAGTGCAGCCCTAGCCATCCTCGGTTTCAGTCATATGTATTTATTTATTTATTTTCATGTGATATGGAATAGTTAATGCAGAGGCTGAAAGGGAATTTACCTATGAAATATACCTAATTGTAGATATATTTTGACTTGCAAACAAAATAAAATTGTAAAAATGCATGAGCCCAATGCATTTTTATTATCTGTATACTCTACAAATTCCAATTTATATTGTACCCGCATTAGAATAAACTAGATTTATACTCAAGAACCATTCTGTACTAAAATGTACCAGCTAAACAAATCACCAGGATCCATGTTAATTTTCTTTAGTAGCATTGTTTGATTTGCATTATACAATAGATTTAATAAGCACAACCAGTCATCATATGTGTACTGAGTTACAATGGCCAACAATAAATGCACTAATTTCACTAATTTCAATTTACTCAGGAAAAATAGCCTAATATGCAAATTGAAGGTAGCTTGTTAGTTTACTTTAATCTTCATAACATTACATAGATATGGTTGTTATAAATTTTTAGTGTCTTAAGAAAATCAAATATCACTTTAAAACACCATATTTAGAGAATTAGAAGCAATTTGTGTAATTGGTTATTATCTTTAATTCAATATTTTATAGCCTCGGTTCATAAAATGTGAATGATGATGAGTCCTTGGTTAACTTCCAAGATTATCCCTATGGTAGCACAATGTTACTGATATGCATATTGTGTGGGCAAAATATCATATCAAGGACATAGATAACTGTGGTTTTAAATATCCCCAAGGAAGTCAAGTAAAGGAGGAAAAGACACCTCTCTGAAAAGCCTCCAGATTATTAGGGATGCTAGCACACTAACACATTATTATTGTTTTTTTCTTCTTCAGATTTTCATTGTTCTGTTGATTTGATGCATCAATAGCATAACAAATAAAATTTGATACTGACTCCAAATCTCTAATGTTAATTCCATTTTATTACCTTCATTCCATTTTTTAATTCTTTAACTATTTGTTTTGTTTCAAGGGCATTACATTCAAACAAGTTGTGTTAATTAAATTACCAAATTTAGCGGGGGTGAAAGCAAAAGAGTTAAAAAATATATATTTCACTGCAATTAAATCTACTTGAATAACTATAAACATTGCTTTTACTATTTGTGTCAGTTATAAAACCCTCAAAATAGAGACAATTTATTAAAAGGACACTTTAAGAACCAAAACCACTTCATTCTTAATGAAGTGGTTTAGCTGCCTAGACCAGGGCTTTTTATGGCAATGTAAAAGCATTGCCATTTACGAGAGAAGACAATGTTTACATTTGGCAATAAACACATAAATCTCACAGCCACTAGAGACATTTTTTCACTGAAGACTTTCAATATTAAAAGGTCTCTGCATTTGGCATTGTCCAACACTATGAATGTTTTACTTTTGCTCCTAGAGAAGCATATATACAATACTTCTCTATGAGCGACAACTGATTAGTGGAGTTTGGCAACTACTGTGCAGTTCCATAGTTCTTCGATGTTTTTCTATGAGAATAATTAGATTGGACCAAATATAATCTGTCAGAATTATCTCAGAAGAGAAGGAGTGGTTGCTGGGAGGAGACTGCCCATTGCTGGATTACTGGTGAGTTTATCAGTGTTTATTTTTGTTTGTTTGTTTGACAATGGGAGGGCCCGTGTCTAAAATAACTAAAGAACACTCTAACAAAATAAATATATTTATTTTTAATGTTAGCACAATCTTTTAAAATGTTGATCTGCATTCTTTTGCAATTGTGTTTTGTAAATCTTTATTTTTAAGAGCGACAAAGATGGTAGTGGAGGTGACACAGTTGAGGTTTTTTTGGTGGGAGTGTTGTGAGAACTCGTAATCTATTGTCTTGACATGGTACTGGTTGCATGGATTTTACAATGGGGGGAATAGATGTACTAGAGACATTGCATAGGATTGTGGCAATGAGGAGCCAGTCTTTCTGGATGGGTGGTGGCA